TGAAAAGTTCAGAGAAATTAGTGACTTTCCCAAGATTTTATATGTTTTTGAAAGAGCTGGCATTAAAACCCCCATATCTGCTTAATTCCAAATTACATGATCTTCTCTGCACATCAAAAAACGAGCACAGATTTTTCTCCTGTGGCCTCTCAGCCCCTTGCACCTCTGCAGAACACCCACCCTTCCTTATACCATCGCTCTTACTTGACACTTCCCACCTTGGTGGAAGGCAAGCAGATAAACAGTAGATTCACTTATCTATACTCTATCTGTCTATATCTCCTTAAACCCCACCATTCCATCTTCACCACTGGAGTGACACTAACACAGGGGGTGTCTGTTCTGCTCCATCATTTGACATTTGGCCATATTTTCACTGGGTATTTCCCATACTTGGCTTTCATTTCCACAGATGAGGAATGACCCAGGTTTGCAAGGAATAGACTTAAGCAAAATTTTATATTTGCCCATAAGGGTTTTATTATCTGTTAGGTTGAACTGTATGAAATTGCCAACCCTTGGTTATTTCTGCCAATTCCATAAGATTCAAGCTAATGGTAAAGCAAGAAGAGAGTGACCATTTAGTGGGTGCATACTGTAAATTATAGGCCCTGTGTTGGCTGATTTCCATGCATCCAGTAGTTTACTGTTCACAGCAGCACCACAAGCATCCCCACTGAAGACCTGAGATTCAGGAGGCCACGTCATTGCCTAGGGTCACACTTTTGGGAAACATCAGAGATATTATTTAAACTCCTAGCTCCTTCACCCTGAAACTTGTATCCACATCACAATTTCAGCAGTGCTAGGACCCTGTCCTGAGAATTTTGGGGGTTCTGAATGGAAGTTCATTGGTGCTGGTGTCGCTGGCCCTAGAAAGTTGGTGTTTGCTGGTATCATTGTAGATACTGACAATCCAGGGTGATAGTCAAGATATTTTAAAGCCATTAAGTTTAGGGCACTACCAAGCAAAACTGACACTTGACCAATCAGAATGGATGCTGGCTGTCAACCACTAGAAATGACTTAAAGGGAATTAGCCTTCTGCTGATAAAGAAGGTATAGTGGTTGCTGCTATTCTAGTTTTCTGTATGCTGTTGTTTGCAGGGTACTCAATAGTTTGGATTATTTTTCAGCTAAACCTCATTCCCCTCATCCACAATACTACCGTGCAGAATTTCCTTCCCTACTTCCTGAGGTTGGGCTTGGCCATGTGGCTTGACCTAACCACTGGAGTGCCTGTGGACACGATGTAATCAGAGACCTTAGATGTGCTTGTTTTTCTCTGCATTTAGGCTATAATGTGCCTGAGGTAGCTGTCACCCCTTAAGCTAGGATCCCAGAACAAACACACATCAAGTGGATGAGAACCCAATCTATAGCTTAAAACCGTACTCAGGAGACACGCAACCTGCAGCAGATCTGATCAGCGGAGCCATGTCTAGCTCAACAGAACCACAGTAAATCTAGAAACCAATGAGCATGAGAAGAAATACTTAGTGTTTCAAGCATTTGAGCTGGGATGATTTGTTATACAGCATTATTGTTGCAATTGCTGACTCAGGCAGGATTGTGAAGCTCAGAGTATGGCCTTTGAAACTGCATAATTCCAATCCTTGGCTCCCTCAACGTTAAACTCCCCAAGTGTAATGTAGCTACATTTATGTTTTCTTGCAGGACTTTTGCTTTAACCAAGAGTTCCAAATCTAATGGTCATGACTATGTTAAATGCATAATGGTATCAACAACTATTGCAAAATGCCCTAAATGTAAAGTGATATGAATATTTATAGTCACTTCTCTGGAAGTGAGCATATTTGCTTCCTCTGGACCCCATGGAAGATATTATTATAGATGGTCACACTCCTCATGTGCTTCATTGACTCATGTCAGTATCGGTGATAAAGAGATGCAAACAGCAGCACAGAGAACGTTTGGGACGCAAAGCTCTAAGCCAGTGTTTCAGGCAACACGACCTGGGTGGTTTAACAAATAATAATATCAAATAATAAATAATGGTATCAACTACCACTATGACTGTTGCATTTTTTGAGTGCCTCCCTTGGCCAGGCACTGTGTGTACGTTACCTAACCTATTATTCACAATCACACTCTAGGGAAAGCATTTTTAACCGCCATTTCTGAAAAGCGGAAAATAAGACTCAGAGTGATTAGTAGATTTATACAAGGCCACACAGCTAGGGGGTGGTGGAGTGAGTAGAATTTCCATCTGACTCCATCTCCTTCCAAAAGTACAAAATGCACAAAAGTACGAAAATGCTTTTATTATGGATTGACAATTTCTATCCCTCCAAATATATATACTGAAGCTCTAAACCCCAGTATGGCCCTATTTGGAGATGGGGGCTCGAAGGAAGTAAGACTGACTGAGGTCATAAAAGTAGAGTCCTGATATGATAGAATGAGTGTCTTTATTAGAGACACCAGAATGTTATTTCCCCAGGCACACACACCAAGGGAGGGCCATGTGGCTGTCCACAAGACAAGAGGTGAGCCCTCAGTAGAAACCAAGCCAGCCAGAAATGATCTTGGACTTGTCAGCCTCCAGAACACTGAGAAAATACATTTCTGGGATTTAAGTCACCCAGTCTGTGGTATTCTATTATAGCAGCTCAAGCAGACTAATACCTGTCAGTCCTGAGTTAATAATATTTCCCAGGAAGTCTCAGAGCACTATCAGAGAATGGCCCTTAAATACATGAAGTGGATGTATTCATTCCCAGTCCACCTCCTTCACCCTACATAAAGTGCAGAAAGGGTCAGGGTGTCACAGGGCCCGTTTCCTTCAATGCATCTGTGGGAAGGACATGTAGGGGCAGCTCTCAATAGCTCAGAGAATGGGACTGGCTTCAGCATGACCCTTTTTGCTCCAGGAAAGCATGACACGGATTATACCTTACTTTACTCTCATAGAAATTTGCTGCTTTCTCCCGTATAAATAACTCATCATGAGCAGCAGTGCGCTCCCTGTCGGAGCCTGATCAGGACCACAGAGGCAAGTGGGACTCAACCTGGGACTTCATGGCTGTGGGAGCCATCGCTGCTCTCTCTATTCCAGGTGGAACAGTCCTGGCGTAAGGGTCCTGTTTCAGTGTCTGTGAGCACGAATAGGGGTGTGTGTGTGTGTGTGTGTGTGTGTGTGTGTGTGTGTGTACGCACATGCATAAGAAGCTTGTATCATTTCTTCTTCTAGTGAAAGGAAATTCCCTGTGCCAGTGGGTTGGGGAAGAAAGTGAGGTCTCAGGGAGCAAAAGAGACTACAGGAAAAGATGAGGATGTCAAGGCCCACCAACCTCTGTTTGTCCTCACCCTCTCAATCTGCTGAAAGATGCATAATGGGAATAGAATTGTCTCCAGTCCATTTCATTGGACCAGGTCATCCCAGTTAGCCTGACTGTCCTGTTTGCAGGTCAAGTACAGAGGGAATTTTGCCACAGTAAAACATGCTCTATTTTCAAGTCATATGTGAAAAAAAAATAAATGAAGGAAGGATGGGGAAAAGACCAAATGCTGCCAAGTGTCCACTACAAGCTCTGGTTTTCTGCAGGGGCAACTGGAAGGTGTGCAAAAAGTTCACCATAAGCCAAGGACACAAACATGTGCGTGTGTGTGTGTGCGTGTGTGTGTGTGTTTGATGTCTTAGCACAGCTCATGTTTGATGTTTGTGATGGTTCTATTTATAAACTTTGTGCTCTAGGATAGGACAACCAGAGGCACTTCTTTCCTGCATTTCAAGTGTTTCATTTCCTTTTTAACATGTCTTTAAAATTAAGAGCATGCACACCAATGCATGGGCTCACTCTTATCTTACGGCAAGTTGATCAGACTAGGGTTAGTTGTCTGAGAAGCGTGGGTGGTCTTTGTCACAAACAAGAGGAGAAGCAGGTCAGGGAAGAAGAAGACTAAGAACTAACACTGTTGTTTTGGTAGTTGTTTGTTAGCTGACTGTCTACAAGGCACATGTTCTATCAAATATTAAGTATTGGGTGCTGACTGTGTTATGAGCCTTGTACATACGATTTAAACCCCGGAGCCACTCTGTGAGGCCAGAACTGCTTTGGGATCTTTCAGATGAAGGAACCAACGTGAAGGCTTTGAAATCCTATGTCCAAAGCCACACAGCGAAACCAAAGTGAAACCCGGTAGTATTTGAATCAAGAGTTGAATCTTCTTTCCTCCCCAGAGGGAGAATCGCCCAGGGGCTGAGTGCAGGGGAAAGGCTGGTTCTGAGGGAAAGAAGCTGAGCATATTGTGGCACAGGACTTAGAAAAATTTACAAGCGTCGGCAATTGTTTTCCAGGGGAAGATACCGAAAAACAATCCAGGGAAGGAAATAAAACGAGAAAAATAGTAAAGCAACATGGAATACAAAAGTTGCTGCATTTAGGGCGAAGGAGGCAACCTCGCTGCTCCGTGGCGATGTTAAAGCTATCCTTAAGAACGGGAGGTGGGAGTGGCCTGAGGGATGACTCCTCCAGCACTGCTCCCTGCCAGTTCCGGGCTGCACAGGGCTGAGCCGGCGCCAAGAATGCCCTCTTCTGGTGATATTCTCGAAGCCCAGGATGACAGCAAGGCAGCCGAGACCTGTGTTTTCCAGATCCTGGGTAGATTCCCTCGTCAGACGTGGTTCTACTTAAGCAAATATCACTACCTTCTGTTTTTCCTCCTCAGCCCTCAAACTAGTGATAGGGAAATTATTTCAATAAGGTAAGCTGTACCTTAGTAGAGTTTGCTTCCTTTTTTTTTTTTTTTAACCCCGAATAATACTCTCTATGTCATCTGTATATTTATGATAGCTCAAAGACATGGGTGTGTGGATCTAATTAAAAATGTGAAAGGGTTTAGCAGCCTGCTGCTTCCCTGCAACTCTCTGGTTGCCAAATCTTGGCAGCCGTGTTGAACTTGAGCCAAGCGTTTAGTCCTCAGCTGAACTGCTGCCAGCCTGCGCACGGCATTCTGGGGCGAGAGCCGGAGGGGCTGCGCTGCACCCAGCTTGCACAGGGCGAGGCGGGGGCAGGACCTGGGACCCAGCCGCCCCGGAGGAAACCGGAGAGGAAACCAGCTCGGTCTTGCTCTCTGCTTGGTCCCAATCCCCAGCTCTTACCAAATGCAGGTAGGACCAGCTAGGCCAATTTGGTGACCGGGTAGGGCTTCAAGCTACTCGCTGGGAAATTGTCCCCAGAGTTTTGCTTTCATTTAGTCGAAATCCAGTCTTTTCAGGGGAGAAACAGTTCTCCACTCTCTTGCAGTAGTTAGGGCCTGAGTGACAAGAGTCGGATGGGGTATTTCTATTGAGTTCTCTGCTGTCAGTCTGAGCTTTCCTTGATAGCTTGGCAATTGTTCTGCATCTTCTCTCTGAAGCAGCTGAGTCCGGCGCGGGGTTTCTCAAACCCTGTCGTGCACACATGTCACTTGGGGAATCTTGTGAAAATGCAGGTTTCTGAGTCTCCCTGGGGAAAGGGGAGAATTCATGTTGCCAAGATCAGAACTGACTAGCACTGCTTCCGTTCCACATTATGACTCCAGACTGGAACTTTTGTGAATTCAAGGATGTTAGGCTCTGGAAAAGTACATCTTGGTGATTTGCTCTCAGAGGGAAAAAAGGGGAAAACAATTCAAAGAATTCAGCATTCTCCACGATATGTTGACAAAAATAAGGGAAAATAAAAAACATCAAAGGCATGGGTCACTTTTTATTTTCTCAAAATGTACCAGCTATAAGCAAATTAAAGAGGAAGAAAGGGTCATATTCTTTGTATACAGAACGCCCTCCTGCAGAGTGAAAATTCAACTCTAAAAAGATCTTCTAATATACTTGAGGGGCTGAGAGAGAGGATGAGGGGGCACTTTGCCTTTTAACTTTATATCTTGTGAATTGTTAATTTTTCATGATGATTCATTTCTTTCGTAATTAAAAGAAGAAGAGGCAGCAGCTGCAAGACGGCCCTGGAGCCTTCTTGGCCGTGACCTTCCCCAGGGCAGGCCACCATGGTGGGGAACGTATGGACTTTGAAGCCACTTCGTCCTGGAGTGGAAGCAGGCCCTGGCATTAAGCTTGGGGAAGTTGGCTGACATTGCTGGGCCTTTGCAACCTCATCTGTGCAGTGGAGCAATGGGGCCTTCATTGCAGCATAGCTGTGGGTGCCGCAGACATGTTTGTAGGGGGCTCATACCCAGGGGTCCTTAACAGATGTTTTACAAATCCAGAGCCTCTCTCCGATGGGGTTAGGACACTATTCCAGATAGAATTTCACCCCGGCAGACTGCTTGTGAACACAGATATGTTCCAAAACCTGTGGATAGGAGCTAATCACTTCGAACGTCACAAAGTCTCTGTTCATGATATTAGAGGAGCCCCCCAAAAACGAGGCCTTGGGGAATAGCAGTGAATTTTCTCCTTCTTTTCGAATGGCAAATTTATACATATGAAAAGTCTAAAATGACATGCCAAATAAATCATAAGTAGTCATAATTTAGCCAGCCACTTTTATTATGAAACAATAAAATGCATGCAGGCAGGACGATGAAGCGAGATGCAGGCTGTGTGGCCCCTGTGCAATTAGGGGCTGATATTTCCTTCAGATCCTAAGTTGGGATGGCATGTCGCTTGCTTTGTGGTTTGGAATAATGCAGAACTGGCTGTTTCTACCACAGAAAGAGGGAGAGGGCGTGTGCTGCTAAGAATCAGGATATTTCCAGGAAAATTTCACTCCAAGAGGCTTTCTTGAATCTCACTCCTAACATGTGGGCAGATGATTGTGTAAACCACTGAGGGATGATGCTGGAGGTAAACATCTAATTAATTAAAGAAAACCTCCCTCTGCACCCCAACTCTGAAAATGCCCCACAGTTGAGAAACACTAACATACACTCACCCACACCCACACTCACACACACTCTCTCTTACCCATGTATTTGTAAAAAAAAAAAAAAGCTTCCTGGTGACTGAGTCCTTCGGTCCACCTGCCTTTGTTAGTTCCAGGTCACAAGCACCTTAATCCCCATCACCCTTCTTCCAAGTCTGTGTGACCACAACCCCTTCGCTCTTCCAAGCAACATTTGCTCCAACTTAATATTCCGGTGCTTTCGGGAACAACATTTTAAAATAAACCATTTTGGCACCTTGTCAAAGTCTTGTCTAAATTCCTTCATGACAACCACTCTCAGTGAGATTTTTAAAACCAAAGGGAGTTGGGGGCAGAGAAAAGCAGAGTCCCCTGTTTAGAGTCCTAATCTCAAACAATATCAAATAAGAATGTATTTATTTCTCCTGCCCCCTCTCTAATTCCCTCATGTTCCCACAGGGTATCCTCAGCCCACCTCTGTCCCTCAATCCACATCTTTTTTGTCTCCTCCATGGGATTTGATCACCTGGGTCACTGGGAAAGGGGCACTGGCCACTGGACAAAGAAGGGCTGGGCAGAGATGGGGCCTTGGGCAGGTGTTGAAATGTAGTTCCTGGTCTTTGGTAGTAATCACTGCAAAACTGCAGTAATCACTGCTCCATTCCTATCAACAACCTGCTCTCCTTGGTCTGTTGCTAAGAGACCAGCCTGTTGTTTACAAGATCCTTGGTGGCGTAGACTTCCATGATTTATAATTTATTATCTTAGTGTCAAAACTTGTGTTGGTTCTTATTTTATTTCACCATAGATCCAATTATAGTTAGATACAGCAAAGGTCATGTGTCTGCCGGTGGCACAGTGGCTGCACCAACAGTGTCCCTCACCACCCCTGAGTTCAGGTGCCGCTGAAGAAAATGCCATTGTTAACTGAAGATGAATGTCATTTTTTGTCCATTGGCTTCATGCATTACATGAGTGTTCAGGTCAGTGGATTCCCTCAAGGTTTGCTCACTACTGAAAACATGTTTCTGTCCAACCAAGAAGGAAATGGATTGAAATGATTTCAATGATCACAAGAAGGGAGTTGAGTCTTCTCGCTGTACAGTTCAACACGTATTGACTCAACTCACCAATCCTCCCCCCTCAAAGTTCAGGGCCATAGACATTTATCCAGCACAAGACATGACTCTGGAGCCATCATAGGGCTTTGTGGGTCCACAAAACTACCTTGTGAGGACATTCTGTACTTAGAATAATTCAGTGAATTCAGAAAGGAAGTGATGGCACAGAAGAAAGGGTCATTGAAGTAAAACAGCTCAGTCTCAACATATCAGCTTAGAGAACAAGAGAAACAGTAAAAGTGTTAAGATCATTGCCAACATGTACTGTACCAGGCACAAGACTAAGTGTTTAATCTGGAATAACTTATTAAAAGGTACTGACAGATCTATGAGGAAAATTCTAGTATTAGTCTCATTTTTACAGACAACAAAATCAGAGCTTTCTACCTTAAGTAACGTACTCAGCGATTCCTAGCTATTAAGGGACAGGATGGAACTCAAGCTGAGTGACTCTAGGGTCATTTTTCATTCTCATAGAGATTTTTAAAATACGTATCAGCCTGGGCTTTGGAGTTTTTTTGTCTGTTTAATAAGAGTCCCGCATACATTTGATGAAACAGGGCAATGAGCATAGATTCCAAAATCTTATCACCACATTGTCCTCTACAGAGTCTTCATCATCTCACAGAAACCACAGAGCATGAGAAATTTCTAGGAAGGGCATTTTATTTTCCCCATCAGAGGGCCTGGAAAATTCTAATGCTGTTTTACTGGGAATTAAGCTTGTTGTTTTCCAGAAAGCAATTACGGAAATATTTCATACCAGCATTTTTCATCACTTAATTCCTGCCTGCTCCCTGGTGGGGTCATGGCCAGGACAGAATACTGTGCACAGATCTCCTGAACCCTCTCTGGTTGGAGTTGACAGACTCAATTTTAGTACAGTGATGAAAAGAGATGAATAAACAAGCTAGAAACTGTGGACCATCAAAGAAGCAGTCATGACATTGACGATGACTGAACCAGTTCTCAGCCCTGTCTATTTGCTTTTCCTCCCCCAAGCAGGACCTTGTTCCCATTCAGAACTGCAAACCCATAGACTGGACCCACGGGCAGACCCCTGTCAACAAAAGAGTGGAGTGCACATTCCTCAGTTTATTTTCTGAGACCACTTTTCTGAGACTAGAATCTTCCTGAGGGTGCAGATGGGGTCCTATTCGTCTCAGTAGCTGTACACATCCATTTAAGATTCAAAATCTGAAGTTTGGGGTTCAAGTTCTCATCTACCACTTAGGAGCCTCGTGAACTAAGGCAGATTTTAAACTCTTAGGTTCCTAGTTACAACACTTGCAAAAATGGTGACAATAATACTGTCTTCTTCACAAGGAAGAGAGGATTAAAATGAACAACAAATGTAACATGAAACTGGAGACGGAACTAGATAAAAGTGATTAACATCATTACTCAAATGCCAGGAGCAGTAAAATGCCTGACAAACAATAGCCTCTCATTCAGCAGCACGTGTAGCTGTGAGCTCGTATTCAGTCTATGTGTGCCAACACTATGAAGCGTTGGGATCCAAAGTTGGAAGACAGACCTTTTCTGCCAATTGTTCACAGCACATGGAGGAGAGGAATGTGTAAACAGTTACCCAGAAATATACATATTCTTCTAGGGAGACGAAGATTGAGATGTGATCTTTAACACATTAACTTTTAACTCTCATGCCTCATTTTCTTCATCTGAGAAATGGTTCAGTCATCATCAAGTCATGACAGCTTCTTTGATGGTCCATAGTTTCTAGCTCATTTATTCATCCGTTTCCATCACAGCAGTGAAAAGGAGGCTGCCAACCCCCAAGCAGAGAGGATTTAGGAAATCCATGTATGGTATTCTGTCCTGGTCATGACCCTTCCAGGGACATGACTGCCTTGTCAACTGGATAATTGAGAGAAGAATATCACATGCCATGTTTCATTTAGGAAGCACTGAATGTGTATGGGGGATGGGAAGTGAAGAGTGTCTGGGGACTCTGTCCCAACTGATCCTTTTTCATTGGCTTTTAATGGGGGCTTCTAGAAAAAGAAGCACTTATTCATTGATAAAAATAAAACGTAATTAGACACAGCCTCCTCTGCCCTTCACCTGATGGGGTTTTCAGCAATGTCAACAAGAACCACCATACTGATAATGCAAATCCTGATTGCTTCTGCCCCACCTAACTCACTTTTAGTCTCACTTTTGGTCCATAGCAATTCAGCAAGCTAAGGAGTCAGGAGTAGTAAGGTCAGCCAACTGTTTCACCAGGGTGATGCCAGATAATGCCGGACAGTGTGATCAATGGATAAAGGGATATAAAGAAGGAAAAAGTCCCTTGGGAATCAGAATCAGCTGGGCTAGAAATTGAACTCAGCCACTTTTAAAGTCTGACCCAGGGAAAGGCAAGCTTCCTAAGGGTGACTTCATAGTGTTGGCATTAGCGTTGATTAGATCATGTGGGTTAAGGTCTTAGAACAGAGGAGATGTTCGGCAGAAGGCTGCTGCCCTCCCTACCAAAGACTCTGAAAGACAGGATGCTATCAGAGGTTGTGCCATGGTCTATGATCATGGTCTCTGATTCAGCTCCAGAAAGTCAAAAAGAATTCATCGCCGAGATTTGGTTAGCCCTTCATTTCCTCTCAAATTCCCGACACTAGCCAATGCTGCTGTCCACTGCTTCTGGTTTTGTTTTTGCTTTTGTTTGTTATGGAAATAATAGGCAACAATGATCAGGACTAGGTATATTGTAACTCAACTATCCCTTGCTGGACTCTAAAACTGTCCTCCTCTTTTCTTCCTGGAAAAACAGAATCGTCCTCCCTCTTGCTCAAGACAAGCCCCAGAATACCCACCCCTGAATTCCCTGCATTAATATCCAAAGCATATCCAGTCTCTTTCCTAAATATGTCTCCTCTCCACACAGTTCTTTAGTCTCTAGGGCTATCAGTACTAAAGACATCTTCTGAACTAGGATGAAACATGCTCCTTATCTTCTTGTAAAGCTCTAAGGGTCCACACATTTGGTAAGACAAGACTCAAGCTTCTTAGCACAGCCTTCCATTCCACTCCAAATCCCCATGTGCCCATATCCTCCCAGGCACCCTTCCACCACAAACCCACTGAACCTGCAACATGGAATTGCTTCTTGTTCTTCAACCACATCATGTTGGGCCATGACTTGGACTTTGTATATTCAGGTCCTCATGCTTGGCATGACTACTCCTTTCCCAGAAAATTCCTGTTCAGCCTTCAAGACATAATCCTAGTTTCTTTTTCTAAATCCTCCTGGCTTCTCTGGGCACTTAGGCCAGGCATGTTACTCTTACTCGTATCTGTATCAAAAAAGCTGAACCCATAATAGAGTCTTAGTACTTGTGCCCTGAGCCATGCCATTATCCTGAAGAATGTTCCTGGGTCCTGCCTGGGACTTCCTTAATGGCCCCTAGATCTGGGTTTCTTTTTTTGCCTCTTTCAGTGTTCTTTTTATTAACCTTTCCAGGATTGTCTTTCTCTACTAGTCATTAGATGTTGATGTTCCTCAAGGTTTGCCATAGGCCATTTAAAATATTATAAATAATTTCATATTATCTCATTTACATTATCTCCTGGGATCTCTCTGCTTCCCAGACTGCATTAACCACTCATGGTGATGACTCTGGGGCTGCATTCCCAGCCCTGATTCTCCATAGACCCCAGACCTTTGCATTCATATATGTAATGTCTGTCTTGAGACTTGGATATATCACAGAGCCTTCAAACTAATATCTTTGGCTGGGCATGGTGGCTCACGCCTGTAATCCTATCACTTTGGGAGGCCTAGGCAGGTGGATCACTTGAGGTAGAGGAGTTCAAGACTAGCTTGGCCAACATGGTGAAACCCCATCTTTACTGAAAATACAAAAATTAGCTGGGTGTGGTGGCAGATGTCTGTAATCCCAGCTACTCAGGAGGCTGAGGCAGGAGAATGGCTTGAACCCAGGAGGCGGGGAGGTTGCAGTGAGCTGAGATCCTGCCACTACACTCCAGTCGGGGTGACAGAACAAGACTCCATCTCAAAACAAAGAAACAAACAAAGAAACAAACAAACAAACAAAAAACCAGTATGTTCAAGTTGACTTTACTTTAGCTTCCCTATAACATCTTCCTCCACACATCTTTACTCCATTGTCAGTGTCCCCTGATTCATGGTATTACCACATACTTGATGCCCAACTGAGAAATCTAGATGTCTTTACCTGTCCTTCCTCAACACTGACCCACCTATCTCATTAAGAAACAAGGCCTATGGATTCTATCTTTTCAATAGTTTTCTTTTTTTCTTTTTCAATCTCTCCAACCCACTACTGTTTTCCACCATTCTCTCAGTCTAGGCCTCATTATCTTTTTTTCTGGACTTCTACAACAAACTCCTAATTTATCTCCTACCTCTATTATTTCACTCTTCCTATCTATTCACTATTGCAGGGCCAGGACAATCTTTACAGATCTTTACAGGATGATCAAAACACGAACTTTATTGTGCCATTTTTATATGTGTGATTTCCCAATGATCCCCCTTGCTGACTTGAGGTAATTCTCAGAAAACTCTGCATGAATCATAGAGATTTTGGTCTGGTTTCTAAATAGCTTGTAGTCTATACCTTGCACCTCTGAGCCTTGCAGCCATATTGAACTATTCTTAGTCTTTGCAAAGGGCTCTTCTCTCTCTAAGTCTTTACCTTCCATCAAATACACTGAAATATGTATTTTGGGGCAGATTATTAATGTCCTCCTTTTTACTGAGATCAACTACAGGATTAACTTAGCAGTACTTGGCTTCAAAAAACGGTATACCAGTCTCTTTCCCCATCAGTCTAATTTTTCATCCTCTTTTCTTGGATATCCCTGAGTTCACATCTTCTGAATTGTACTTGCTTCTTTTTGAGGCTTATGTAGGGGCTTGTTTCAAAGAGATACTCTACATTCTATCATGGCTGTAAGAAACGTAGGGGTCCTGTTCTATGCCCAAGGCTCTGCTTGTCGAATGCACACGTAATTGATCAACACAACTGGGGCTTCCTATTTTATGTCACAGTGCCATAGTAGTCAATGATGAACTGTCCTAGCAGATCCACTAAACTATTCTTTCATTGATTGCACATAGTTCCTGTCTTCCCAATGTACTTTTGACGGTTTATGAGAGTAGATTTTGAATCACCCCTCCCCCAAATCTGAGTTCTTCCAAGGGAATTAATTCCCCTATGTTTTTGTTTAAGGTTTTCTGCCAGGCAAACTACATGTTAGCATCATGCATTTTTTTCTTTTTTTTTTTTTTTTTTTGCAATTCTAGACCCTTGTGCCTGAGAGAGCAAATCCTTTAGCCCTTTGATCTTCACAATCCTTCAATTATCTTTCTGGTTTCCTTCTGTTGTCATTTAGGGTAAATACATACAGTTGGTCTTTGTGTCCATCCATGAGAGGTAATCTCACTCTTCTTTTAATTATTTTTAGATCCCTTGGCTGAATGCCTTTTAGTCTGCATGCATGCATCTCATACCACACAGCCCAAATTTCTACAACTTCGTCCAAGTGCAATCTCCTCAGAACTACAAAGCAAGAAAAGATCACCTTTGGGCTCAGGAACTCACAGTCATTCTCCCTCTCCCGGAAGGCACAATGACCAGGACAGTACCGAGCTTTGCAGCCATATTAAACTCACCTCCAGCTCAGCACATTCCGCTCAATCACTCAAAATCATCCTTTCCTGCTGGTAAATAACACTGAAATGTAAGTGCCAACTGTTAGTCTTTCTTATCTGGAGTCTTCTCCCCAAGTTTTTATTTTATGTGAAAGCATTGTGTTCTCAGTAATTATTTTGGTCTCCACATTTTATAGCCAATCCCTTTGATTTAAAATATTACCGAAGGCTCTGCTCCCCACCTTTTCCTTCCTAAACTGCTTTTTGCAACACCCTTAATCTGAATTTGAAGGAAACACAATATTTTCCAACACAATTTTTCTTTTCCTTCCTTCCTCCTCTTCCTCCTCCTCTTCTTCTTCTTCTTCTCCTCCTCCTCCTTCTTCTTCTTCTTTTTTCAGATGAGTCTCACTATGTTGCACAGGCTGGAGTGCAGAGGTGCAATCTCGGCTCACCGCAACCTCCGTCTCCCAGGTTCAAGCGATTCTCCTACCTCAGCCTCCCGAGTAGCCAGGACTACAGGAACGCACCACCACATCCAGCTAATTTTTGTATTTTTAGTAGAGATGGAGTTTGCCTGCGTTGGTCAGGCTGGTCTCGAACTCCTGACCTCAGGTGATCTGTCCACCTCGGCCTCCCACAGTGCTGGGATTACACGAATAGAAAGAATGAGAAATGCATCTGAGCCTCACTCCACCAAAACAACACACTTTCCCACCTCTCACTGCACTCCAATGAATGTCTATGAGTTTTCAGACTCCCTGTCAATGGTCTTAGGTAAATGCAGTAATATTTGCTTTTTAGAATTTATAAGACAAAGGCCATTCTGGGTGCAGTGGCTCATGCCTGTAATCTTAGCACTTTAGGAGGCCGAGGCGGGCAGATCACCTGAGGTCAGGGTTTGAGACCAGCCCAACATGGCAAAACTCCTTCTCTACTAAAAATACAAAAATTAGCCAGGCATGGTGGCACATGCCTGTAATCCCAGCTACTCGGGATGCTAAGGCAGGAGAATCGCTTGAACCCGGGAGGCGGAGGTTGCAGTGAGCCAAGATTGCACCACTGCACTCCAGCTTTGGTGAAAGAGTCAGACTCTGTCTCAAAAACAGAAAGAAGAAAAGGACCAGTGCCTTAAAATGAGCAGAAAATTTTCTGTCAAGTAGACTTGGATCCCTTTCCTCTCCTGCAGCTTATTGGGCTCACTCTTGCTCATTCGCTCATGGCTTAGCTTCTTCATCTGTCAAATGGATAGAAAATACTCTTTCAGTCCTTTGAGTAAGAAAAGCTGATAATGGCGCCAGAAGATTTCTGTCAATTCTGAAGCACTATATAAACAAATCAGACTGCCACTAGTAATCAAAAAAAGGAAGGTCTAATACCTGAGGCTTCTAACTTGTATAATAAACTTCTAAGTAATTTAAGTTGTTCAACTAAAAAAGGAGAGGACATTTGGTTAAGAGAAGATGAGATTTCAAACACATTATGGTCAAGTTTAAGTGGTATTGTTTGTTTCATTTTGTTAATGGAAGAAACTCTAGCATTTTTCAAGAGTCAGTCATTGGGAACCAGCCCTTAATTATAGAGTGTTATGGGAAGATCCATGGTGTCTAGGGTCTGTTGGGGAATTTGAGGAATTCTACAGCAAGAGCATTGTGCTCCAAGAGTACACAGCAGAACTGGGGCTATCACACTCCCATAAAACAGATAAAATCGTACTCAGAACACAGCTGTATTAGTCCATTCTCACGCTACTATAAGGACATACCTGAAACTGGGTGATTTATAAAGAAAAGAGGTCTAATGGACTCACAGTTCTGCAGGGCTAGGGAAGCCTCAGGAAACTTACAATCATGGCAATAGGAAAAGCAAACACATCTGTCTTCACATAGTGGCAGCAAGGAGAAATATGAGTGAAGTGGGGGGAAAGCCCCTTAAAAACCATCAGATCTTGTGAGAATCACTATCATGAGAACAGCATGGGGGTAACTGTCCCCACGATTCAATTACCTCCGACCAGGTCCCTCCCATGACACAATATGTGGGAGTTATGGGAACTATAATTCAAGATGAGATTTGGGTAGGGACATAGCCAAACCATCAACAGCTATCAACAGCTTTGTTAGCATCCAGAGAAGGCTGAAAGAGGAAGAGAAAGATGTGGGACCAGCACAGGAGACTTCCTGGAGTGACTGTGGCCCCATCTGGGTGCACAGGGGTCACAGCAGTCAGAGAGCATAGCAGAGAGAAGGCACTCCTGCGTGAGACCTCCAGGTGAAACTGGGGTGGGAGTGGAAAGAGCATTTCTAAGAGGCGAATAAACAGATTAACAAAGAATGAAATTTATTGGGCTTTGAAAGTCAAATGCCACAGCAGCTTGAATTTGGTCATTTGATCTGTAGGGAAAATGGGGAACAGGAGACACTGGAAGGTGGAAAGGCCTAAAAAGCTCACCTTGAAAATCCATCAAGACATTCTTTAAATTTAAATGTAAACCTGTCACTATACCAATACTTACGGCCCCTTTTCCAAGAAAGCCCTCCCCGTGCCTCTTCCCTGCTAACTCCTGGCCATCTTTATGGCCTTAGCAAGGTGATGTTTTCTCCACCAGCCCCACCCCAACAGCTCTCCTTCTCACTCAGGTGGGTCACCCAGAGTGGTCCAAACTTCCCTCATCAAAGCAGCCTTTACACATCCTGTGGCTTACAATTTCTTACCTTGTGACCCTCCTCTTCTTTCCCTATTTAACATTATGAAAACTCTCATCAGTTTTACATTCCATGAATCCTTACCTGCTCTGTGCACCTTGTCCCACAAGCCTCCCCTGATTGTAGACCCTCCACAGAGGTCTCAGATGACACCATGGGAGCCACCAGGCTGTGCAGAGACTCCTCTCTTCCCTCATCAATGTCTTTACCCAGTGAGGTTAAGAAAGCCAGGGCAGGCTGAACTAGGAATTCCCTTGGTTCTAACACAAAATGTGGTCACTTTAAATGACCTAATTGTCCTGTCTAAACACCTCTCTCCTGGGATAATCGAAAATGCTCTTTTAGTCTGGCTCACAATTCCTAGCCTCCAGGCCCCCAGGGTTCCAGTGGGCGGGTGGTGGGAGTCCATTAGTCCTCACCTTCTGCCCTTTCTGGTCTCAGCTGAGCTCTTATCACCTGTACCTGGGCCTCCTGGTCTCAAGAGGTCCATGACTGCCTCTCCGTAAGCTCCAGCAAAAGATGGTGAGGTTCAGGCAATTGCCTTTCCTATTCTAATGAGCCTTGCTTCTAACAGAATGTGAGAAGGGTTAGTGTGAGTACTCCAGAAGGAAAGAAATAAAAGGAGAAAAAACAATAAATTAATGTAATAGAGTGGGCAGAAAAAAACGCTTAGATATGAGATATTCCTGATTTAACTACATGACTTTCACATGTGATACGGTCTATCACACCTCGAACCTCCTTATCTGTAGAATGGAGATACCAGTTCACACTCTGCTGTGAGACTGGAATGTGTATGTGATGTACCTGGCATAGTGCCTCAGACACATGCCCTAAAATTGGTACTTAGTCCAATGGTGGTTGTCATTATACCAAAGAGTACCAATGACTTTAAAAGCTGAGCTTTCTGGCCTTATCAGGACCCACATCTAGAGAGGGTAGAATTGTATTTTCCACACCTATTAGAAGTGGAGTCCTCCAATGTTTA